GAGGTAACCGTCACCTCATTGAGCAGATCTCTGAGCAGATACGGAGATGGCAATTATTGGCAGTTAGAAGGTGTATGTCCCAGAAGAGAAACTCCATTTGCTGCAGTGGTCTAAAATTGCTACATGGCATGCTGCAAGGAGACCCCCACATACTTCCAAAGTAAGGAAGAAGGAGAAAAAAGTGATTATGTCACATGAGCTGCCAGCTCCTACACGTGAGCTTGCTTTGGAGAAAGAAGTTCAGGAAGCCTGCCCCAAAGACTCAAGTACATACAAAAACTAAAGTAAAAAACCTTAAAACCAAAACCTCATATATTCCATACAGTACCTAGATAAAAAACAATGGAAATCAAAATGTCACATAAAAATGACACACGGGGAAAGTTAACAGAAGGGCAGAATCTTTATTCTGAGTGTTTCCAAGTTTTAAAGCCTTAAGGACTTTGTGGCCAGTGTGTGAGGGGCAAACTCCAGCCAACCTCTGGACTCCAAGCCTCCAAAGTAGGCTGGTTAGAAGATGTCCTTTACACATTGTCCCTCAGGCAGGTGGTTCATCAAGCTATCTCCGTCTTCCCGAAACTTCACGTGGCACACTACAGTATCTGCACACAGCAGCAGAAACTATTGGCTAGTTAGGAGGAAAGTCCTTCCTCTGTTACAGTAAGGCTTCTTGGTCAGAAAAGTCACAGTTAATGAGGAAAAGAAGAAAAAAAAAATCCAGCTAAGAAGAAGCAAAAAATCAGCATATTGAAAGAAGAAACACTGTCCTGGGCAAACCGTGACAACACTGGATTTGTAACAAACTTAAGGCTGAGAGTTTCGGGGAGGCTGTGCAATCCCTCTGTACTCATTATTTACCACACAGATTTGCTGTCTGCTGCACATTTCCCTGAGAATTCCGTTTTTTTTGTCAAAACAGAAAAAAACTTAAGGCACATATATGTGGCCCCAACTTCCATTTGAAGATGATTCCCTACCAACATGATCATTTTTGGTTATCCAGTTCTTAATTCAGCTTGATTTTTCTCCACCCACATTCAAATGGGTTAAGCCACAAGGTTGCTGCTCAAAGTGAAATCTGATTGGCAAAACAGTTTTTAGATATTGTTTTCCTAGGAACAAACACAGATTATTGATCTGAGGTCTGTGAGGAACAACAAACATGAAGTCTCTTGTTATTCACCTACAGAGCTATTTGTACTTGCAAAGCTGGACTTTGGCATACTGTCCTGAATTAGCCCTGAAATTTGCCAAGAATTTTTAAATTATATTCTGTAGAATCAGATTATTTGTATTACATGAAGACAAATGTGTGAAGCCAACTGTTTGTTACTAAATATTGAACATCCTAAATACAGTTATGAATAAGAAACTTCTGTCATTGGTTTACATGATTTTGAGAAGGACTTTGAGGGTGAATGTGAAGTGTACATGGCTGAACAGACAACCATGGACAGGTACTTATATTCTTTACTGGTATACTCACATCTAGAATTTATAAGTATTGATAGTATTAATTTAATGTTATCAATTAAAAGCAATCAAGATTAATTATATTTTAAAAATAGTCACCATAATTTTTAAGTTATTTTTTTCACATACATTTTAAGAGACTAAAGTCTAAGAAGTTACCATTTATATTTTACTTTTTTCTACCAGTTTGAGATACTCTGTAGCAAAAGATTTAATCAGCCTGTAATTTAAATGCTCTAATTGACTCTCTGTATTTTTGTAAGATTTTTTAAATTAATGAAAAAATAATAAAATAATTTAAATATTTAGTCATTTTTGTTTTTTCCATTTCAGAACTGTACAACTATCTGGTATAGCTGGTATGTTAAAATCCTATCAACTGAATCACTATAAACCAACACAATAGCAATAAGTTAGACTCAAGAAACCTTAAGTGAAAAAAAGGTGCAAATGTTAATTCAGAGTATGTTTTTACTCTATAACAGTAATCCACTACTAACATTTAGAAAAGTGGCTTCTGAAATACTACCTGCATTTTGTATGTGTGTCTATGAGAGTTTGAAGCATGTTAACAGCCACTAGGAAAGCTCTGCTGTTCCTACTGAGGAGATAAAAAATCTCTGGAGTTATAAATTTTCTTTTGTCATCTTTTCTACCATATCCTGACAAGTCTAGTAGGAAAGTGTGATAGTGAAGGCAGCATCAGTTGGAGAAAAGAGAAATAACAGTGGCAATAAATCCATAAAAAGGAAATTGGTTCTGTGTCACAGACTGCTCCACCCCACTTTTGTCTCAGGCGTCAGTAATAATGGCTATATTAGTAAGATAAAGGAGACTTTCAGCTGTTTTATTTCCTTGGTAGAATAAATATTATTTGTAAAGCAAAACCAGTGTTGCTGAAGAGGGCTTCTACTGAGGAGGAGACAGAGGGTGGTAAGCTAAAAGAGCTGCACTCATCAGCCCTTTACATTGGTGTGTCCTTAAGTGTCCCAGTCACTGATTGTACAACTTCACATCATACTCGGTTAAAAACCAAAGAAATTAATGGAAGTTCATTCCAATATTAAGGGACTCTGCATTTAAGAATAGTGATCAAAAGTTAGTGGATTAAACAGACATGACTTAACACCTCACACCTTTTCACAGAATCACAGAATGTTAGGGGTTGGAAGAGACCTCCAGAGATCATCGAGTCCAACCCCCCTGCCAGAGCAGGACCATCTAGTCCAGGGCAGGTCACACAGGAACACATCCAGACGGGTCTTAAAAGTCTCCAAGGTAGGAGACTCCACAACCTCCCTGGGGAGCCTGTTCCAGTGCTCTGGAACCCTTACAGGAAAGAAGTTCTTCCTCATGTTGAGGTGGAACTTCCTGTGCTCCAGCTCGTAGCCATTGCCCCTTGGCCTGTCTCAGGGCACAAGTGAAAGGAGGTTGGCCCTTTCTTCTTGACATCCAGCCCTCATATATTTATACACACTAATTAGATTCCCCTTAGTCTTCTCTTCTCCAGATTAAAAGGCCCCAGGTCTCTCAGCCTCTCCTCATAAGGCAGGTGTGTTCCAGTCCCCCAATCATCCTCGTAGCCCTTTGCTGGACTCTCTCTAGTAGATCTCTGTCCCCCTTGAAATGGGGAGCCCAGAACTGGACACAACACTCCAGGTGAGGTCTCACCAGGGCAGAGTAGAGGGGGAGCAGGACCTCCCTTGTTCTGCTGGACACACTTTTCTTAATGCAGCCCAGGATATCATTGGCCCTCCTGGCCACAAGAGCACACTGCAGTCCCATGGACAACTTGTCCACCAGGACTCCAAGGTCCCTCTCCACAGAGCTGCTCTCTAGCAGATCACCTCCTAACCTGTACTGGTGCGTTTTATTACTCCTGCCCAAGTGCAGGACTCTGCACTTATTCTTGTTGAACCTCTTGAGGTTCCTCTTGGCCCAGCTCTCCAGTCTGTCCAAATCTCACTGAATGGCCCCACAGCCTCCAGGTGTGCCAGCCAAACCTCCCAGCTTCATGTTATCAGCAAACTTGCTGAGAAGACACTGCAAACCATCATCCGGGTCGTTAATGAAGATGTTGAAGAGGACTGGACCCAGCACTGATCCCTGGGGGACTCCACGAGTTCCAGCTCTCCAGCTGGACTTGGCACCATTGATCACCACTCCTTGTGCTCTACTGTGCAGCCAGTTCTCAACCCACCTCACTGCCTGTTCCTCTAGCTCATATCTCCTGAGCTTGCTCAGGAGGACGTTATGAGGAACTGTATCAAACGCCTTGCTAAGGTCAAGGTAGACTACATCAACTGGTCTCCTGCATCTACCTATTCAGTCACTACATTGTAGAATGCTATCAGATTAGTCGGGCATGACTTCCTCCTGGTAAATCCATGCTGACTAGTCCTGAGAACCTTCTTCTCTTCCATGTGCTTAGAGATGGCCACTAGAATTATCCACTCCATCATGTTTCCAGGGATGGAGGTGAGGCTGACTGGTCTGTAATTTCCTGGATCTTCCTTCTTGCCCTTTTTGAAGACTGGAGTGGCATTGGCTTTCCTCCAGTCCTCAGGCAACTCTATTGTCTGCTACAATCTAGTGAAAACGATAGAGAGTGGTAGAGTGACAACGTCAGCCAGTTCTCTGAGTACTCTTGGGTGCATCTCATCAGGGCCCATGGATTTATGTATATTCAATTTCCTTAACTGATCACTAACCCAGTCTCCACTGATTAGCAGAGAGTCTTCCCTCCTCCAGGCTTTCTCTCCTACGTCTAGGGTCTGGAGTTCTCGAGGACTAGTGTCAGGGTTAAAGACCGCAACAAAGGCAGCATTCAGCAGCTCTGCCTTCTCTCCATCCTCAGTGCTCAGGGCTGTGCCTCACTCAGCAGGGGGCCCACACTGCCCCTGTTGTTCCTTTTGCTACTGATAGATTTGAAAAAGCCCTTTTTGTTCTCTTTTACTTCCTTTGCTAGTTTTAGTTCTAAGAGGGCTTTGGCCTTTCTTATTGCCTTCCTACATGTCCTGATAGTTTCCCTATATTTCTCCCAAGTGACAGGTCCCTTCTTACATGAGCTATACACTTCTTTCTTTCATGAGATTTCCTTCAGAAGCTTCCTGCTCATCCATGCAGGTCTTTTAGCTCATCTACCTGATTTTTCACTTTTCCCTGTTTCCTTTCTCCTGCTCCCTCATACAAACGCCATAAGTGTACGGCAATAGCTACATCATTCAGAGACTTTCAACCATCTCAATCACCCTACAGGAGCATGGCATGAAGGGGTTCTTACAAAACAGGTGAAAAGTGGCTTGCATTTCATTAACACTACAAGCTATACCCAGCTGTAGACCAAGGGGAAATACCAGTGACTTTTTGACAAGGAAAAGTAGATTTTGTGTTTTAAAGGATTAGTAATGTGTATAAGGATAATGGTTGAAAGGTGAGCACTAGTACATGGTGATATGCACACAAATGTTTTGCTGGGTCACAGAGATCTAGCCAGCAATGTATGTAAGTGCATGTCCTCTGGTTGATCAGTCACTTCTCAGAGGGTTTACTATTTTCCCTATGAAGAGGATGGTACGGGTGTATTTATCCAGAATAACCAGAAGAAAGGGCCTGTTGAATCTGACTCGAGGTGGATGAGGAAAATCTCCAGATCTCCAGGTAACCTCCTTCACTGTAGTCCCTGCTGCTTCAGTGCCATTCTCATGAACATTCAGCATGGCTCTGTGGATCACCTGCAAGGACACAAAGCAAAACCACCTCTTCTGACAATCTGGTGAAGTGCTGGGGTCTAAACCCCAAGCCCTGTGTCAAGGCTGACATACGGATGATGTCCACAACCAGGCAGGAAAGACCTTTCACTTGGCTTTCTCTCAAGGTCTGGCCAACCTTGGGTGAAAACCAATTAGGAAATCACCACCAGCTGCCCTGCCTTTAGAGTTAACATCAAGTGTCTTGCCTCTAAGGTTAACAGTATAAATTTGGCTGTGCTGGTAGTGGGGTGGGTGTATTATGTAGTATTTTCAGTTATTAGAAGGGCTTTCTGACTGGCCACTACAAGTAGGACTCCCAGCAATAGCAGGACAACATCACAGCCAGGACAGAAAGAAGATTATGTATGTAATTATGCTGTTTCTTGACAATTGCTGTATGATTGGACTAATGACCTGGCTTCTGACTTGGCTTGCTCCTTTCTTTTCTCTGTCTGTGAAGCAAATTTCACAGTGAGAATATACTGCGAGTGGATGCATTGATCTATTAATTAGTCTGGTTGTGAGTCATCTCATATCCTTCCTGTGTACTCTGGAATGGAATGGAAAGGTCTGGTCTTTGTGCTTCCTATTGATGACAGTGTCCTTATCGGGGCATACAGTCAGCAAAAGAGCTGGCAAGAAGGGAGCAACTTGCCACAAACCTCATCCTTGCCAGAGGTAGCCCTGCCTGGGGCAAGACCTGACAGCACCAGCTTCTGGGAGAGTTACCACAAGCCACTCTCCTTCCCACTACACCACAACCACCCACTCCTCTAGCCTCCTTCCCTTTCTGTGCAGAGAGTAACCCTCAAACATCAGACAGCCAAAGAGCGCTCAATATGACTGATGGCAACAAACTCTGGAAGAAAGGAAACCTGGTAATTTAGCCTAGACTTAGTTTTGCCTTTGGCAGCTTCATGTATTATTGTGAATTTACCCTATCATCTAGCTGAATAAAATAACTTTTTGAGAGCACTAGAAGGGCAGGAATAGTAGCCTTTTGCTCTCTGTAGGTGGAATTAGAGAAAATTTTACTGAAGTTCATGTGTGAATTTAGATAATTTTGTTTATCAGCCAAATGAGATTTTACTTATGTGTATGTCTTCTTCCTTGTCCTTGAACCATGTGTGTAAAAGCATGTTTGGCTTCAAGTTTAGGGAAGACAAGGCTTGCTTTGCTTCCACATTGACAGCTGTTGATGATTGAGTGATCCTTCAGAGAGACTGGGATAAGCTTTTCATGGGCTGTTAAAGTCAGGTTTCTGGGAACAGATAATTGCTGTGTTTCATGTGCTGACTTACTTTTGAAACCATCAGTCCAGGCTCCTCAGTAATCCCTGACAGATCAGCTTGTTCAGTGAACAGATCGATTATACCCACTTGTTTCACTAACTCTTTCACATCATAAGTACCAGAAATAGAAAATTTTGGAATATGCAGATGTATTTTTCTGTAACAACATAAATAGGGACAGATTGTCATATAGGTAACATTTCTCAATGACTTCAGTATAGTGACAATTCACATTTCTTTTTCCAAATGTCAAAACTCTGCTATCAGGGTACAAATAAACAGATAACCTGTTCAAAAGGTGCTGATTTACAGAGTTGGAGCAGAATGAGCCTATGCTATCCTATGCCTTCATAGGTTGATTCAAGCCTCACAGCTTGAATCCATAGCTGGGTTCAAAGAGTGGCGTGGAAGACACAACTATAGCAACTCTGTTGTAGCAAACAGAGCTACTACTGCCAGGTAGCAGATTTTTTTCAAAAGATTGTAGCCAGCTGTCCTAAGGTAATTTAAATATGTAAAAAGGTCTGGGACACCATAGAACTAGATGGAATAGTGGTGAATGAATAAAATTTCTGCTTTTGCATACAATTCTTTCAACACCCTAATATCCAATAGCTAATCCCTTGTAGTTTCACAATGCCCATATGAAACAAGGGTCTATTAGCACCATGTGTACTATTTGTGGCTGAGCCAGGAACTTAATCCAAGATGGATCCCAGGTTCAATGTCCTATTTGTTCGCTACCCAGAGCTCTCCTTTGTTTTCCAACTAAGAAAAGGGAACTCCTGCACAAGCAGGACCATTAAGTGAAAAGAGTTCAGTAAAATAACCTGGCCTTTAATTATTTCTTTTTTAGATAAACACTACTAATCTATAATACAGTCATCTCTCAACTCTGAGCTTACCTGTCTTGGAGGAGCTTTTCCCATTTAGATACAGTCCTTTTCAAGAGAGCATCTTCCACCTGCTTCATCTTCCCTTCATCAGGCAAAACAAATAAAGCTGCAGCATTTCCATTGTAAGGTATCTGAACCAGCCAACAGGACAGATCTTCATCAAAATAATTTCTGTAGTAACCCTTTCGATACATCATGTCAACTTTTACAGATGTTTTTTGATCCACAAAAAAATCCTCACGCTTTGTATATGAAGTACTGAAGGGTTTCTCCCAATGGGCTTATGACAAAGAAAAAAATATTTCAGTGGGACACAAAGAGGAATGGTCACAGTGAATAAAACAGAATCTAGTCCCACAGCCTTCCTTCCATTAGAGTAAATATCTCTTTCAAGTCATTGCATCCTCAGGTGTTACAGGGTTGCAGCTTTTTTTTTTTTTTTTTCCAGATGCTTAGACAATTAGAGATAATACTGATAACATAATCTTTCACTAGATCATGAATCTATAATCACATTTAGAGAATTTACCAAACTCAACAAAGATATTAGTTAAATAAAACTAACCAGGTGAGGACACAACTAAATATTTGGCAACAAATATATATGGTATTACAACAATCTTTTGCAGACACAGAACATGGTTTCTTCCATTTAAAATACATAAACTACAGTCTCTTTCTCTTAAGTTTTCATTTCCTGTAATAAGCAGTAAGCGTCTAAGTTACAACCTTCACATCCTTCAATATTTCTTACCTTTAAAGAAGACATAGTTAACAAGAACCATTGCAGTGAGAGGATCAAGATTTTCCACTAATTTAACAATTTTCCCCTTTGTTTTTTCCTCAATATAACTGTTGATCTGATTCTCGGCACCAGAGGAGTTGTTAAAGCAAGTAGAAAACACTTCAGATTCATAAAAGTTTTTGACATCATCCAAGAATTTTTGTAGTGGCTTTAGTGTCTCTTCTATAAAAAGGGCATTGCCCAAGCTCAGCTGGAGGTCACTGT